CCATAACTGTCTGTCTGTCTGTCTGTTATTTTTGTTAGTAGAGGGGGAGGGTAAGTTGTGTAGTTACAGCCTCTAAAAGAACAGGGAACATGGCAGGAACATTGCTATCTGGTGAGAAAGCTTGACTTGAGACTCTCTAGGCCACATCATATTGTTCCGTTTTACTTATATAAACCATTTTAAAGTGTAATTTAAATATTTTCTTTAAACTCTCAGTTTACAGTATATTACATCACATCCTGTCTCTGTCCTGGCTTTCACACAACTACCTTTCTAGACTGATGCTTCAAGCAACAGAGCAGATAATAACACAATTTTCAAGTACATACAAAATAGAAAACCAAAAGAAAACAATACTGCAAAACAATTCAGACCCAGGAAATGGCAAAAGGACTAGAATCCAGGGAAAATAAACAAACTGCAAACTAAGAAGAGGTATAAACATAAGAAGGGCAGAGTGAGAGTGTTCTGCTTCAATAAACTTTAAGCTTTGTGACAGTTACATAAAGTCTTTGTTGCATGGAAACATATGAATCAGGATATGACTGAGAGTTTTAATCTGTACAACCATGTTTCTGTGTCTCCATTTACTGAATTTGGATGGAATATGAGGCAACACAACTATTAGATTGACTGTGGTCACTCTTGTTATTTGAACAACTGGTGAATGGGTGGAAAGTGAACACGACTTCAACATCAGCACGTTCACTTGATATAAGACAAGGCCGTGTTCATGTACCATCAGTGGATAAGCATGTAAACACACAGCTCGATGAGGGCTCACTGAGCAAGCAGGAGATCTGTAGAGGGGTCTCTATTCTGGTGGCTCGTACATGGACGCTATTACTCTTAACAGTTCATATTGGGGATTTGAGATAAGATAATATAACTACCATCTTGCACAGATAAGATTTCTTATCTCCAGAATATTATTTGTGATATAATATGATACCAGTAATAAAAAAAGATTAAAGAACTATTTGAAATTAGTCAACTGCAAGATGTAATAGCTGGCCACTGTATTACAATGATTCACATCAAATGTAAAAGCTGCTTCTTTCCACTGTACAGGTTACACAAGTACTGCAGGGCAGGGTAATTACATCATTCCATATCACAATAAATGGTGCACGCTACTGCTCTGTATTCACTGCACAACAAATTTTGCTTACCTGGAGAACTGGAGGGTCTGTATGAATCAAAGTGATTTCATCATGCTGTAGGATAGCTGATACAATAGATACATCTGGCACAGTAGTGGCTCCAGAGCAAGTTCAACATTTAAGCTAATGTTTTTGTAATATATGAACATGAAGAAGCATTTTCGCTTATAAGTGTTTTTGTTTGTTTTTTTTACAACCTGGGAGGATACTGTCTGAGCCAGAAATGGAACAATGGGACAAATAACCCATCATTTTGAATATTTACCTGAATATAACACTGTCACATTCATTTTGACAGAGCTGGAGAGGAATGAGGCAACAGCATCATTGTTTAATTAGGTATTATGTGAGGTTCTTCAAGGCCCATTATTCAGCTTGCATTTAGCCAATTTCTCATAAACTATCTTGTATACAAGTAAAGAAATAAACCTTTTCTTTGCTATTTCAATAGGGAAGTAGAGGCAGGACTAAGTGGCAAGAAGAATTGTCACTAAAACGCTTTGATTGGTTTCACATTATACTGGTAGTAGATTCTATAGTTATATAACAACAATAAAAAGAAATAAAACTCTAGAGAGCACTCGGTTGCAGACTAGAAATAGCTATAAATATGTTGCAATGCAATTAAAACAACTTTGACTGTTTTCTTTCTGTAAAAAGAAAGAGGGCGAAAAACATTTTATCATCTAGCATGACACTCAGTATAGCGCATACCTGCAACAATCCTATAAATGTCTGTCAGATCAAGACTATCTTGACCCTAACCCTACCAAATTGAACAAAGTCATGGATCTCAACACCATAAATGTGTATGATTTTTTTTACGTCAAGATCCATACATTATTTCCTGAGAAACTGACAAAAGTGTTGAAAATCCCCCTATCTTGCAATGTTAAGGAAAGTGATATTAAAAAAAATCCTGGATCAGCTCCTTTTAAGCCGATCGACACAAAAGTTTAATGTGTTCTTCTTTGGCCCATGCCCCAAACTAACAATCAGACACAGGTGAAAACATAACCTCCTTGGCAGAGGAAACAATGAAGGAAGGTAACCAGCACAGTGTCAATGGCTGCTGTTGTATATTGTGGTACTTTTTGCCATTCTGTTTACCAGTTTGTAGAGATATTGATGCGGAGCAGTTGTCAGGGGAAGAAGTTGTTTTGTGTCTGGCTGTTTTGGCTCCAGTTGTCCAGAGTTAGTTAGATGATGTGGATGGGAGAGGTTGTTAATGATGTTGGATGTAAACTGCCAGGGCCTGGAGTAGCAGATATTTTTGGAGAATGGGCATGTTGTTGGCAACGAACTCTGGTTACTCAATTATTTGTTTAGTCTAGTCTTTATCCCAATATGGCCCAAACCACAGAGCAGTGTGTTGTGTCACAGTGGACTGGATGTTGGCTGTGGGCCACCACTGTCATTGACAGGCAGAATGTCCTCAGCTGTTGTATTAAGTGCATCCCCTGCTGAGCTTTTCTACTGACTGAATTAAAGTTGTGACCTCAAAGGAGGCTTGTACTTTGAATGATTTGGATTTATGTGTCTTGTCACTGAGTTCTGTTATGTCATGTTGTATTGATTCACTTTTGCTTCTTATCACGTCGTGTTGCGCTGTGCCATACCATTTCCTGACTTGGAAATTCAGTGAGCACAGTATTGACAGATCAGGGGACGGTTGCTGCAGCTCTTCAAAAGTTCAAACTAGCCTAGTAATAACAGAAGTAGGTAGAGATTTATATCAAAACATGTCGCACCACACAAAGTAGTTCTTATGTAGAGTTTAGTTGTTACTAGATATTTGCACCCAGTAACTGCTAGTTGAAACTGCTTCATACCTTCAACAAAACCGACTTACAATGCTAATATTAACTTGCTAATACATGACCTGTTTGAAGACAACAAGAGATAATGAGAAATATTGTTGACATATCTGATCTAACACTTGATTTTTAATAAGAAATAACACGTACCTTAAGACCTTATACAAGCATTGTTTTGCTAAATTGCCCAATAGCATCAGCTAGGTTATCATAATTGGACATTTTCTCAATAAAAACTAAAACTATAGTTTTTGGCAGTTATGCTGCAGCTTGAGATGCTGAAGTGACTTCCTGTTTACGTAGTCTTTACGAGCTAAGACATTTTTTTATGTTCTAGTGGAGCAACTTAGTAAATCACCAGTATAAATGAACTAGTCACTAAGAACTGAGGAAGGGATCTGCAAATAGCAGATTTAAGTTCCATAAACAGTGTCCTTGCATAACTTTTGTCAAAGTTACTCTGGCTTCATGTCCACTGCATCATCCATAAACATTCTGGTCCTGTAGGCTAACTTCAGGGCATCCAGGAAAGGATGTGTAAAACATTTGAGGTAGCCATACAGATGTCTTACCAAGGTCTTCTTGAATAAGATCAAAGCAACTGAGTCCTGTGATCTTAATTTTCGAGGACTGGAGGAATGGTTGACAGGAAGTTTAAAGATCTAGCGAATGAAGTCCTTAATTCCCATCCTCAGCCACATGCAATGAAAGCATTTGGCTCGATAAAAAGCTTCTTAATGACTCCCTGGTGAATTCAGCAGAACAAAGATTGAACCCCTAAATATAAAGGAATTCAATAGACTCATAAGTCTCATAAGTCTACTCTGTCACTTTGTCTCTCTCTGCCTTCCTAAATGAATCTAGTCCATCCAACCCAATTCTCTCTGCTCCCACTTTTGTCCGCAGGCATTACGTCTATCCTGTCCGCCTCACGTGGACCGTAAATATGATGATATGGTACATACTCTGCTCTGAGCCGCTGTTCCCTCTCTCTCTATCCTTCCTTTTGTTCACCTTTCCTCTCTGCACCATGTGCTCCTGTAGATTAGAGCTGGCATTTGCCTCCTGAATACCCCAGGTGGGTACTGTAAGCATGAGTGCATGTCCCAGGCTGAGGCCAACATAAGGTTAACTGAATGCAGACTTGATCCTAGCCACCAAGGAACTCTAAGCTAGCTTGGCTTGACATGCTGGCTCTCCATACTTTTTGCAAATCCAAATCTCCAAGCCCTAGGTTTTGTCTTGCTTCGCAGAGCCAGACAAGGAGTTTTGGTGGCTTTTTCTTTTCTCTTTTAGTTGAACATCGAGGGGAATGTGCTTTAATAGCCTGCAGGCTCTTTAGGTGTCTTTCTGCACTCAGGTTTTGATTGGCAGCCCAGGGATTCAGGCAGTATTACCACAGTTATCTCACCACACCACACGCCTAACAGCACTCAAAGCCTCCTGAGCTGTCTGTCATGCCTCTTAATTTGCACCATAAGCAGATGAGTTGAAAAAGGATAAAATACCTGAACAGGGGTTTGAGCGGGTCATTTAAGGACACCGACATGTAGCAGAAAAGTGACATTGGCGAGTGTCACCACTGCGTCTTCCCAAAGTCATTCGCTAAATCTCTTTAATACCCTTTCATACACAATATATTAAGCAACACATTTAACCACTTAAACCAACCTATTGGTGAGTGGTAAAAATAACTTTTCCGTAATCCATTTTTTTCTACTAAATCCCTGGTGTGATCACCAGTATATTGTAACTATAGTAACTCATGTGCACCCCCCCACACCAATGCTGAGCAGTGTCCATGTTAACCCCAGGTCAGGAGCAGGTTTGTGGATCAAGATACAGTTTTCCCAAGTTGATTCATTATGAGGCATATTTTAAACAGAACTGTGAAATGAACTGTGACCTTTGGATTGTGTTTGTATGGTGCTCTGCCTCCGCTTTGTTCTTCTGTTTCCCCCACCATGATGTTGTCTGTTGACATATTTTGTTTAATGATCTTTCTCTCCGTCTCCTTCAGACTCCCACGGCATGGACCTGTTTGCAGTTGCAGTCCATGAGTTCGGTCACGCCATCGGCCTGGTCCACACCTCAGCCATGGAGTCCATCATGAGACCGTACTACCAGGGTCCTGTAGGAGACCCTCTGAAATACGACCTACCCTATGAAGACAAAGTTCGTGTCTGGCAGCTCTACGGTATGAGGCAACATGCAGTCAACTTACTGTGTATGTGTGAGTGTGTGTAAAAGAGAGAGAGGGGTAAGCAATTTGCATTTCCATTAGAATTTCCATTAATAAATCTGCCTCAAGTGTAACAACAAGCACGCACACATGTGAAAAATGGTATTTCAGTAGCTGATTAGAACTGGGTGCTGTCAAAAAATAAAACAGAGTGGTCTCCAAGTATTTCCAAAATACTTGCAAAAAAAAATGGAGAATAATATTTACAACTAAGCCTGTGTCATTATCTACTGGGCATATACTTTTCCATCATTATTTATGGTATTATTTCATTAATTTACAGAGCATACTGGTTAAATTGGCTGCTCATTTAAAAATAAACAAGATTGGAAGATGTCTCTGCTTCTTCTCTGATCAATCCTGTAAAGTGTGTGTGTGTGTGTGTGTGTGTGTGTGTGTGTGTGTGTGTGTGTGTGTGTGTGTGTGTGTGTGTGTGTGTGTGTGTGTGGAAACACTGAGCAGACGTACCCTGCCCATATCTGCATTCACAGAATCTTCCTCTACTCCACTGACCATGACTCATGAGCCTTTGCTGTAATTATGTATGTTTCCCGGTGACAGCTCAGCAAACTGAAGGTACTGAGACCTCCTTGCACAGGAAGCAGTTGATGAGTTCTGTAGAGCAAGGTTATTGATTTAATGAAAACATGGATGGAGTTAATTGGACTTCGTTATGGCACATGACCTTATCACACCATTCCCTGATACAGGAAATAACAGTGTGAGAGAAGAGAATGATAAACATGAAAAGGAGAATGGAGTGCAGGAATAAATGGCGAGGGCATGTGAATTAAATCAAACTGAAGTGGAGTGTAAGTATTTGAGTGAACAAAGAGATAAAACTGACAAGAAGAAGGAGAGAATTACACACAGTATGTGCCATGTTATATGATGGCACAAAATGGAGCATAATAACATTACAGAAGCACAGGAATAAAGAAAATACCAAAGAACCAGCAGAATGTTATTACATGTGTTGGAAATTCATTTGGCACTTGATCTCATCCCAGGTGTTAGAGACTCAGTGTCCCACACAAACCGACCAGTCAACCCCTCCCAGACGGCTGAGCCTCCCGTCCTGCTCGACCTCCCGGAAAACAGATCCACTGTCCTGTGAGTAAAAGATTCAAAGACTTCCAGCATCTTTGACGTGCAGCAAAAAGTTACAGAACTACACTGCATTCAAACAAAAATCCACTTTGGCTTCTTCAACAATCCCTCAGGCTCTAACTTGAGGCGCCTACTTTTGTGCCTAGATAAAACGCAGTGACCCTGCATCACCAATCCTGCAGTTTTGTTGGGTGAAAGTAAATGATTTCCATCCTTCGCGCACTTGTGAATCCCCTTCAACATGACACTGCCTGCCAGGAGTGCTGCAGAGAGGAATGTCAATAAAAATCGGATGGCACAGTACAATTTTGATACCAAAAATGATGCCTGCTCCACAGCTGACTCAGGATACATCTTATTAGGATGCATGCTGCTCTTTGATATGTCTTATGGATTCAGTTGGAACATCCACTTCCTCTCCTGTTTCAAGCTTATATGCATTCCCTTAGGCATGTTTACACATTCATAAAAATAAAGCTATACTGAAGTTACGACAATAAGAGAAGTTCAGCTGCATCTATAAGAACACGGAACTGTCTCACACAGGTGGTATTTATTTCAGTGTAACTGTATTGGATGTCATTATAGAGAGATTTCTATTTTTCTGATGGTTCCCTGTACATCAGCATAATGATATTGTGATTGTTTTTTAATTTCCTTACTTTTATCATACTTCCACTCAGAAACAAGGTAATGAATCCATGCAGGAATACACTACATTTATTGTAAAAAGACTTTTTTGGACCTTGATCTGAAACCATGAGGTGCCAACAAAGCAAATTAGCTAAGAGGCACAGAGTGAGTTTGGGAGCCTGCCCGTCTAATTAAGTAATTCCCTAAAGCAAGTTTTGGCAGCTATCAACCTGTATTTTTTTTAGATTATAAAGGATAATTAGACTTAATTTTGTCCATTTATGTATTTTGAATGTACATACACACGCACAGCCGCACACACCCAAACCACCAAGCACTCATCTTAAAGTGGTCCCCAAGAGGTCCAACCAAAAAATATCTTCATTCTGAAGACCTTCAATTTAAATTAGTTTCACAAGAAAACACACACATACACATGCGCACACACACACACATCAGGAAACAATGAGGTAGCACTACTTGTGTCTTAGCTGTCTTAGCTAAAAAGGCAGTGATGGGAACTTAAGCCATCGTTTGCATTCTAGTTTCAGACCTCCACTGGCTTCATTAGTCATTTCCCACTGACTCCATTAGGTCATGATGTGTAAAAAAAAAAAAAAAGCTGGATTAGGTCCTGACAAGGGCACCAACACTGACCACTAGGCAGTGAATAGTGTTAATAGAGCTCTTTGTTGGTAATATAAGGCCTGGCGGGCTCCCGCTCACAGCCCCGTGGTGCTAATGGCTTCATCATTGGCAGGCCGACCACATCAGTGCTTTAAATCACTTATAAACCTCTGGGATAAATGAGGGACCTCACCCTGTCAACGTGAGAGCATCTCCTCCTTTGTTTTGCCTGGTTTCACAGACTCATCCTTCCAGTCACAGCGGGTGACAGGAGAAGTGTGAATGAAATCTGGATGCATAAAAAGATGATGAAGAGGATGAACTCATATCTCATTTAAAGCAAACATCTATTAATAGAATTTATGTGATATGATTTTTTTTTTCATACATAGTGTATGTAATATGTCATTTTAGATGATAGGAAACGTTAGAGTCAGACACAACATTCTTTGTGCTGTTTAAAGATTTAAATGTTATAAATGTCCAGTTTTATGTAAGAAGTTATTTTTCCCTCTTTTTACAATCTTCTCTCCTCCTACTTTCTTCACATCTCTCAGGCTGGCGCGAGATGCCCCAGACAGATGCTCCAGTCACTTTGATGCAGTGGCCCAGATACGAGGGGAGGCCTTCTTTTTCAAAGGTACAGCGGCACAAAGGGAGAAAGACGGACGCAAAGCTACAGAGCTGTGTGGGGAAAAATAAAAATAAATTGCTAAATGAGCGGACGTAAGAGGAGGAAGAACAAATTAAGGAAGGACAGAGAGAGGGAAAGAGGATGAGGATGAGGCGCGGGAGCGGGGGGGTGGGGGGTGGGGGGGGGTGTTCAGCCGTAGACACCCGACTGAGCCAGTTGAGCCCTGCTGAGAGACTGCAGTCCAAAAATTACATCAGGCTTTCATGCTTTCCCCTCTGGAGGGATCACCCCGAGCCTCACTGACAACAGAAAACAAGAAGCAGGCTCGCATACCTTCAGCAGCAGACGACGTGTTAACAAAGTTTACTGAACTTTAACTGACATTTTGTAAACCACTTTTTTTTTTTTATCCTTTTTATAACTTACAAGAGATTACATTAAAAGTTTTACAGAGCATTGTTACAATCATTTTGTCTTCTCAATGTTCTTTTTTCCGACATTGATTTGATTCAGCCTGTTGCATGAATACTGTCTGGCATTCACGTAATGTGTTTTTTTTTTTTTTTTTTTTTTTTTTTTTTTTTGTAGAGAATGTAAACCCTCATTTTCAGTGAGCCTTGAACATGTTCTGAAATGTACCATATGGGTAAAAGTCCGCTGAAGGTAGATACGACCATGGAAAACTGTTGAAGAAAGGAAACAGTTCATGCTTTGATAAAGATTCAAAGGGCAAGTTGCTATTGATAAAATTTCTTTATACACAAATGACCCAATGACAGCATGAACCATCGTATTCTTCTTAAGGTTCGTTCACATTTGCACTGTTTTAAGTTTCCTCATGGCCAATGAATTAAAAAAGCCATGTGAGCCATTAATATTCATTGCCAGCAACCTGAATAGTGCTGGTCCTCTTAACTCAAACCTGTCCTTCTCCCCACAGGGAAGTATTTCTGGCGACTAACTCGAGAGAAGCACCTGGTGTCTCTGCGTCCGGCTCAGATCCATCGCTTCTGGAGGGGCCTCCCAACAAATCTGGACAGTGTGGACGCTGTATATGAGAGACCAGGGGACCACAAGATAGTCTTTTTCAAAGGTACAGTATCAAAAAGAAAAAATCTGCAGTCCAATTGGTAATCAAATCTTGGAATGATTATTTAGTGTAATTCAATAGTGTTGGTGAACATCTGAAGTCACAGGTTTTATTTTTTTTTCCTCTCTCTTTCTGTCACAAGTAAATGATGGAATGAGTTTTTAAATAAATATGATGGTTAAAATATGCACAGTTTAGTACGTACTGTATTTCAAGTGACAGTGCATCCAGAAGAGTTTTTTAAAAACCGCTGACGACCCACTGACTTTTTTTAAAACGTGATTCATCCACACTATAAAGAGGCCTGAAGAAAAGAGACAGTTCACAGCTTCCTTACAATGTGGCTGGGACTCTGAAGGAAACTGTGGCATTTTTTTCTCTATGTGAGATTCGGCAGAAGAGGCATGAATTAAACTAAAAAAAACAGAGGGGCAGAAACAAGGGCAAGATTTGATGAAACTTAAAACAGCCTTCCTGGCAGGAAACATTCGTCTCTGGCTGCATATCAAAAATATGTGTAAATCTTTTATGTTTATTTCAAGAGAGTGTCCTTTACAAATTTTATAGGTCTCTTGTCTTTTTAAATGCATCATCTAAAATGGATACACTGTCTGCTATGAGTGATGTTTAAAACTATAGCTTGTTAAGTAGATTTTCTGTGTCCACACTCTCCAGGTCTAAAGTACTGGGTGTTTAAAGACAATATCGTGGAGGAAGGTTACCCTCGTCCAATCAGTGACTTTGGCCTACCCTTGGAAGGCGTAGACGCAGCCTTTGTTTGGCTACACAATGACAAAACCTACTTCTTCAAGGACAACCGCTACTGGCGCTACGATGACCACGTGAGGCGAATGGACCTGGGCTACCCTAAAGACAGCACGCTTTGGAAGGGGCTGCCACCACAGCTGGACGACGCCATGAGGTGGTCTGATGGTGAGGAGCCTTAGAAAGCAACACTCTTCTATTGTTCAAAACATGCAGAGATTAGATTTCAACCACAGTAATGATTGGCATGAAAATGAAATATGATACTGACAAATCCATCAAATTTCTTTCCTCTTAATGAGCCCATAGTTTCTTTCTTTAGAAATTTAGATTTTTCCTCTAGCGTCTCCTAGGAAATAGCCAGGTACTCCCAGAAATGTTGGGAGATGTAGTTCTTTTACTGGTACCTGGTTCTGCCTGCTCCACATGGGTCGTGCAAAAGACAACTCAACAATGTTGTCTTCTAGATCCTTTGACCTACTGACACTAAAACTTCATTTTAACCCCTTGTCCATGAGATTAATGCTTTCATTCTTTGCACCAACCAGAGACTAAAGGTGAAAGTTGAAATTGAAAGGTTTGTTTTGGGGCTTAAGGTGCCAATATGCTTCAGATAATTTGCTTGTCAGGTCATTAAACAGTGTCTAACATGTTTTCTTGACTTTCCAAAGCAGACAATCTGACAATCATGCCCACTTTATGCTGCAATTGATCAGGTATACAGATATGAGAAACTTGGCAGGGTTTGACACTTTAGCCCATAGGTGTGGTTGGAAGACGGGTCACATGACCTTGCTTGTTTGACGTATACTGCGGCCTTTTCTGGATTAAGATGTTCTGTCTTGAGCTAAAAGTAAAATAAGTAAGTAAATGGTACTATGTGACACCTTTTTACAGCACATGCCGAAAAAGTGCTTTACAATGAGACATACAGATATAAAATACACACACAATATGTGAAGATGGTAAGTTTATAGACTAACACAAAAGTAGTCGTCTCTCTCTCTTGGTCTTTCTCTGTTCAAAAACATGGCGGATTCTTCAAAAAAACTTCTTGTCATAATAAAGCTGTCTTGCTAATTTTTGGAAATTCTACAAAATAGATGATCACAACTCTACCACCAAAAGTGGTCTTTCACTGTGAGTGGAAAGGTGTGTAAAAGGAAGCCAGTGAGATATTTTGACCTCTTCCATTTTGATTAAAAAATTGATTATAAAGACACTCTGATTGATTACATTCAGTGGTGAAATGATGAATAACCGCTGTCTGTTTCTTCCAGCGATAAATTATTATATTCCTCAGAGAAAAATAGAGCTGAAGCACTCCACCAGAGTATCAGACCACTGGTATCTCTGGTATTTCTGGTGCCTAAGGCAAGACCATGCAATATCCTTCTCAGAGGAAATCCTCAGAGAGGAATGAACTAAGCGAGAAATATGAGACGAGGGTGGAACAATTATGCAAGTTAGCAAACATGCAGCTTCAAGCCTTGAATAAAGTTGTACAGGCTCAAATTATTATTCTGAGGCAACTTCCTAGGAATAGTAGAACATTGTAGTTTAAAGCCATGCTAGTGGCATGACTCTAGGGCTGGAAATGTGAGTCTATCACTTAGTTCGAGACTGAAATACTACAGTTATTGGAGGAATTTCAATGACATTTTGTACACATATTTTTTGGTGACTTTCCCTTTAGCACAAGACCATGACGTTAATGTTTTTGGCTTTTTAGTGAAATATCTTGACAACTATTGGCTGGATTGCCATGACATTTGGGACAGATATCCATACTGCCCAGGGAATTCATCCTAATAACTTTTGTGATCAACTGACATTTTCTCTTGCCGGCAGCAGGTTTGCACTTATTCTACGTAATATCTCAACGTTTACCAAATACACTGACACAAAACTTTGTACAGTTATTCATTATATTGATGTTTCAGTTAGAATACAGGGTTTTTCACCTAATTTGAGCAAAGGTGTACTCTAGTTTATCAGCAAGTTCATTATTATCTTCATTTAAAGGTGGCGTAATTAATCATGTGGCTGTATGTAAAGAGAAATACACACTTAATATGGCTTCCAGCATCTCATCAATCAGATATATTTTATATTTACTGTCAGCAAAGCACAAATCAATAGAAACATGCATTGCTATTTATCTTACTACATGTAAAAATAAGTTTGAATTCAAATTTTATTATTTATTAATAATAATAGTTAATTTATTGAATTAACTTCTGTCGCTCGTAGATAAGGCATTCCACCTGAGAAAATATATTCTGTATTTCAGTATTCATTATCGTTCTTACAGTATGTTCTGTTATTACATTTTATTTTTATTTTTATTTTATTTTATTTTGGCAGTCCCTGGTTGCATCTATGCACATTTTTTTTGTTGGCATAGCTGCAGTATGCAGATTAGAGGCACATTTGCATTTGATTGTTTTTTGGGGTTTTCTTTTTTTTTTTTTTTGGTTTTTTCATGTGTCAAAATATTTTTTTTAACCTTTATCTGTTATTTTGACGTAGCACACATGGTCCTTTCTGCCAACACTCGGCTTCACATTCACACAGTCAAACACATTCAAACCTTGGAGCTAACCCAGTGTAATCACAATGAGCAGCTCCACTGTAGCAGCTGAGTGTCAAGGTCACAACGCCTGCTTCCATCAAAGCATCATAGCCACACTCATCTGATCATGTTTGCATGTTGATGAGAGGTGTAAAATAGTCTAGTCATACTCCATTTGTTTTGAGGAAATTTGTGCAACATTTCTGCTGCTGGGCTGATGTGTGTGTGTGTGTGTGTGTGTGTGTGTGTGTGTGTGTGTGTGTGTGTGTGTGTGTGTGTGTGTGTGTATGTATTTGGCTCTGGATGGTGCTAGATTTTAAAAATACCCTAAAAATAACAGCTATTGAGTCCTGATATTCGAGACCACTCTCAGGGGGGTCCAGGATGTCCCTAATCCTCTCCTACAGCATGTGAATACAAGGAAGCTCTTTCCCTCTCAGGTGTTTTGTGGTTTGTGTTCTGTCTTCTGAGCTTGTAGATTCAGAGGTCTTGCTCCAAGCTCTTTGATGTGTGCACCCACATGTGTGTTTGCACATACGTGTGTGTGTGTGTGTGTGTGTGTGTGTGTGTGTGTGTGTGTGTGTGAGAGAGAGATGAGGCCAATTGCACAGTCCCCACTCCACTTCACCCCCGGCCATTATCACCACAGAGCCTGGAAGGGTAAACTTGGAAACCTACATGCACAAGTGCACTTAGAAAGACCATGGGGCCTGGGAACTGGAGCCACATCAAAGCCTGTTCTCTGTTTGTTTCACCAGCCCAGGATGAATAGAGAGAGAAACAGACAGGGGGAGAGAAAAGAGTGATATGACAGCGAGAAGAAGAGAGGAGATACAGTGACATCTCGTTATGAAAATAGAACAGAAAGAGTGGGAGGGATGTGAGAAAAGAGGAAGAGAAGGTGAATCCAGACAAGAGGGGGACACCTGAGGACAAAGATAATAAAGACAAGGAACGAAAAATAAGAGGTGCTAGAAAGATAGATGGCTTGACTCAGAGGACAAATAGAGAAATCACAGAGAGAGAGGGAAAGGCAGTAAAACCATAGCGAATGGTTGCTGTGGAGGGAAAAAGAGGCATTAAGGGTATTAATGTAGCTGTAATGGTGATAATGATCGTAGCTGCTGACACCAGTATGGCATCCAGGAATAGTTAAGCTTTTTAGTCATAAGGATGAAAATGAAATTTCTCAGGCATGAATATTATCTTTAACCTGTAGAGGAAGTTCATGTAACAGTAGTGTCACATCTGCAGAGTCAAAGTTATAACCTCTGTAACCATAGAACCGAGAAGTGAATCCACCTTTTTTTTCTTACTAGGAATTTTAGAACATAGGGTTTAAAACTTTAGACATTTTCAAGGGGCCTCTGGCCTATTTATCAAAAGGAGACTGAATTTAAACTGAACTTAAACAGTCCCCCGAGTTGCTTTTACAATGGCAATGTTTGGAGGAAATGAGAGACCATTGAGTAAACCACCTGAGACAAACATTTCTGCAGCTACAGTTCATGGAGTTTCAAGTTTTCCTTTCAAGGATAAGGCTGATGATATCTGTAGTTGTCTTACAGTCAGCAAATCCCCTGAAATGACCATAACCAACAATGAATTGATCCTACTAACAGAGAATTGCCTGTGTAGCCAAAGTCTGACATGGCATATCCCTCTCTGCCAAAGAGCTCCATTGTGGTCCAAAAACACTGTTGCACTCGGTCACATGTTCTGTCATTACCATAAATCTGGGAACTGTCATTGGCATTCAGCCCTAAGGGCTTGGTCTTTCAGTTGTAGTGATAGATGGATAAGGAGAACACCAAAAGAGCAACAAAAACAACATTTACTTGAAGACCGTATTTGGAATAGATTATTTGGCATATATTATCAAGGCCATAGCAATGTAGAGCAAAAAGCTGCCTCCGTAAAGCAGTAAGTTTGCACATTGCACAACACATTGCTACATCATTCCTGCATTATTTATTTTATTTAGAAAATGATGCTCTAACGTGGCGTTCACAAATATTCTTTGGCAAGTATTACACTCAGGGTACAGTTCATTTGACTTTGATCATTCTCTGTCTTTTCATTCGTATTTCCTCTCATCTCATTGTCTTATTTCCTTCAACACCTGATGGATGTGAGGGTCATCCCTGTATAATATGACAGAACAAGATTAGTTTTTATAGATTTCTTGTGTCGAGCACTTAAGCACAAAAGAGACTGTTGTTATCATTAAAGTTATCACTTCTGATGAACATTGAACCTGTTTTTCAAAGTGACACGTGATGCATTTGTTCCTACAAAGTGGCATTTTATCAGAAGCACGTAGCATGTAGTTTTTTCTTTTATTCTGCCAGTACCTATTTGGTATTCTGTGGGGGGTGGGGGGGTCAGTAATGATCAAGGTGTCAAGATTGCTGTGATCTGTGTTGTTCCAACACACCCACAGATGTTACAAAATTACATTAAATTTGCTGTATGTATAAACCTCCTTTATGTTTGTGATTCTGGCCTGTTTTACTTATTTTTTTCTTCAAATAGGACATGTGTGCTGGCAGTTCATTAATTATGAACTAATTGTACAATAAAAAATGTGCATTACATTTGTTTACAAATATATTAATCTATAAATGAATATGCTAAATTACAAAGTAATTAATTATTTGATATTTTAATGTGCAATTAAAAAGAGGAATTTATGAAGAGAATATACAAATGAAATAGTAATCCATTAATAAATAGTTGAAATTAAAAAAGGTTTACAAAAACAACATAAAACAGTACTAGTACACAATTTAAAAACACATTCATAAATTGATAAATAAATGATGAAATTTTAAATTCTATTTAAAATGCGATTATAAAGAGAAATAGACAACTGGATTCAAAGATTGAATTAAGAATATAGATTTTAGTGAGGTATTTAAAAAGGCAATTTCCTTTCCCATTTGCATTTCAATTTCCTCACCGCTTTTCTTTCTCCTATGAGTTATTCAATTTTCTTATCATTTAGCTTGTCCTTTTAGATTCTCCATTTAGCCTTTGCATGACACTTTTAGATGATGCAAATAAGTCATGGGTTGTAATAAGCTCTCTGATTTGTTAGAAAGTCTCACCCGCCTCATACCTTAAGATCAGGCTTAAAACTGTTCTCTCTGGCTCAAGTGAGTCCATCCCTTAGTTATGCTGCTTTAGACCTAGACTGCTGGAGGATTCCCATGATGCACTGAGCACACACTCTCTCTCCTTCTCCATTTATATAGTACTACTTCATGTCACTAACTTTGTTAGTTTTTTCTCTCCCGTAGTTTGTGCTTCTCCTCTGTGTGTGTGTCTCTCTCCCTCTCTCTGCCCTCATTCTGCAGGTATCTCTGTTTTTGGAGCAGCACGATCCAGATCTGCCACTACAACACTTATTATTATTATTTATTAGTATTATTGATAACACTAGTTTAAGTATTAGGATGATTATTTCCACTAAAACAATTAATGATTAACAGCAGATACGATAACACCATTACCTATGGGTATAACTGTTATTAATTTCACTCAATTAACAATCAACAGTGTTTACTGCTGTCCATGGTCTCTGTCTCTCTCTCTCCTCCCCCGCCCCCTCTTTCTCCTCTTAAACCCAACCGGCCGAGGCAGATGGCCGCTCACCCTGAGCCCAGTTCTGTTGGAGATTTCTTCCTGTTAAAAGGGAGTTTTTCCTCCCCACTGTCACCGAGTGCTTGCTCTTTGTGGGAACTGTTGGGTTTCTCTCTAAAATTAAGTAAGGTCTCGACCTTACTCTGTAAAGTGCCTTGAGATAATGTTTATTATGGTTTGGCGCTATACAAATAAAATTGAATTGAATTGATTTGAATACCTTACTATCTTTTCCTACACTGTTTAGGGACCTAGAAGAACATAATTGGAATTTTGCCTTGGCTTTCACTCTCTTAAAATGTTCAACACTGATATATCAAGAATTTTATGGGACATTTCCAGTGAAATGAAGAGTGTTGCACAATTGGAGACAACCTCAATTTCAACACCCACCATGATTATCCCCCTTTTTACATGTCTGCATACGACTTACCAGGCAATTGCCAATTAATTACTTTTAATTTCGTATAGTTAATACATTAGATAGTAATTTATAAAAACATTAATTTTTAACAAATTTCTATATTTATTAGACAGTTAGTTATTAATTAATGACACTTAATTTCCATGACACTTGTTGTCCTCCATAGAGTGTAAGTGAACATATAATAAATGTTATTAAATTTTAACCAGTTAAATTTTTCTAATTGGCAAAACAAAATACACCTCCTATTGGAAGAGTGTAGTTCAAGGATTGTTTGTGCACACTGCTGCTACTGTTCAATTATTCAGTCTCTTCCAGTGTGGGTGCTCAATCTTGCAGCTATCGCTAGCAAAGTTATTGGCTACAACCCAGCTTTTCTGCACAAGATCCAATCCAAGTTTACACAGGCTGCATCTGCCACCTTAAAATTGGATCACATCATCTATCAGAGTCCCTCGTTGCGTCATCGCAGTCCCACAATACCCAACACCAACCAAAAAATTAAACTCATGATGAGTGGTTACACTCTAGTGTGCCAGATTAGTTATTACTTTTATATGGAAAGAATGGAGCCTACTGACCAAACAGCAAGAACACCAAATGCTTTTCACTTCTCTTTTTTTTTTTTTTTTTTTTTTTTTTTTTTTTGAGTTTTACACTAGTCTTGTGTCAATAGACTAAGGGCTCCATTTTTATGTGAGCACATTGAGCAAAGTGCAGCTTTGAGTCTGTGAAATGGTATTTTCTTGAGACAGAGTATTCTTCTTCAGCAAGGAGAGTGTAGCTGGAGGTTACGCAGGTAAAAATAAAACTTTTACAGGAAACAATACTGAACCAATCATACTATTTTGTACAGAGTCAGAGAACTGTTAGAGAAAAACTAGAAAAAAACTATTCGTTGTCCAAAATTTTAAGATGTTATGCTTCAGAAAAAAAATCCATGCTGGTTTCTGAACTAACGTGGACTCTCCTGTCCAAAACTCACAAGTGTGAAACACAACTGTTACAGTATATTGAATAGAATTATGATTTTGTATGATGGATGTGCTTATACACAGCCACTGATATGTATCTTCTATAATCGCAATAAAATTATTCTCACTGCATCTCAAACAGTTGAGGTGGGGTAATAACAGTGTGAAAGCACCAAACATACTGTAAACACTTCCCACTCTGGATCACTGGTTCACGAAATTAAGGCTCTTGATCTTTTATGTGTTCTGTGCTTGTTGTGTGTATCAGATGAGAGCAAAGACGATTCTGCACCTTGTATGAATAATGAAGTATACAGTCTTGTCCTATGATGCACACAGATACTAATGTCAACCCTCTGCCCTCTCCCAAAGGCTCGTCCTATTTCTTCAAGGGGAAGGAGTACTGGCGAGTGCCGGGCAGTGACATGGAGGTGGAGCCAGGATACCCCCGCCTCATCGCTAAGGACTGGCTGCTGTGCACCGAGATGCAGTCGGACTCTCCAGACACAGAGCCCAAAAGCACAGAGACGAGAATCAACGGGCACCTTCACCCAGACCACGCAGAGAATGGATATGAGGTTTGCTCCTGCACCTCTGACACTGCCTCGCCTTTGGGCGTCCGCCCCTCCCCATCTCCCATCTGGCTCCTGCCGCCACTCTGGACGCTTTCGCTAACCCTCCACTCTGAACTGCTATGATGCCAAAGCATGGGACAAAGTTCCTGAGCTGATTGGTGGAGGGCCAGTAGACACCCAGTAAAACCAACGACTGGAATATTTTGTTTTAATTATATAATTTGGTATCTTTTTGCTCTAATTTTGCTGTTATTTATTTTACATGCCATTTGGTCGTCGGAGCCAACTAATGTAGTCCTTATAGGCATCAACCCACTCATAATGCTTGACAGAGTTATTACTGAATGGTTGAACTGCCTCATCTCTGCACAAAAAAAGGGTGAGTGATTATTTCTCCTTATGAGCAGCAAAGGTTCACATACAAGCAGTTGAAAGGCATCCTGGGTTGTTGGCAGGTGCAAAGGTGAACAACAATCCAATACACACATTGTTGCCTATTTTATAGAATTACAGCAGAAGTTTTATTACAAGGTCGTTTCACCAAAATTAGTTTAAAGGTACAAAAGACGTATTTTCCCACTTTCCTCTGGTGGTATCTAGCCGTTCAAATGGTTCATCTTTCATGTAACAGTTTCTAACTCTACCCCAATACATGGAGGTGGATCGAATTTCGTTTGTGCTGTTCTACACACTGAAAAATATCATTTGAAAAACTTAACAGTAATGTGCCTGTGCAAAAACAATATCAGTGATACTCTTGATAATTCACAGCACTCAAATGGACAATTTTCATTCACCTTCGTTATTATTGGATGTCTCAAAAACTGGGGAAATAAACCCTGAACTATGTGCACTGCAGGATATACCACCAGATATACCGTCAGAAAATGTTTTTGTAAACTGGGGAATTGACCTGTTAATGAACCCCAGAATCCACAAATATCCATCCAGGTTTAATGTAAGGTCGGACCTTGCTCGACTAAAGTGCTTGTGATAAGCATGAATGTCTTGGCTTTGACTCTTGCAGACAGTGTGAAAACTTCTTACTGTGACAGCTAGACAGATGCATGGATGAGTAGGTGGATGAACTCAGCACCAGTTTCCTTGCCTAAATCCCTCAACTCTACTCCGAATTGAGGAACCTGCTGCATACTTCCATATTATATTACATAACATATTTCCATGGGTTTATTATTTTCACCTCCAGGTCAGAAGCATTCCCTGCTCTTGGTTTATTTGTATTTTTTGTCTCAAATTCAGATGAAATAATATTCCTGTTTATTTGACATTGCTTTGATCAGGTTATAGAGTTCATAGAGCCTTTTTGTGACTGTTGGACAATTTCCTTCACACCCCATGCTCCTTCTGAAGACAAGAGTCACAACATGGCCCCTGGATTTATTCTTGCTGTAAAGATATATTTACCTATAGACTGATATATTTGAGTTGAAAGGTTCTGCAGGTATTGCATAACCAAGTGGGCTGTGTATATTTTAAGCTGTGTTTTCTAATGTAAAATATTTTTGTAGAAAAATTAAAAAAAAATCTGAATGACTTTATCAGCCAATTGTGGTCACATGAATTCATATCAGGACAGATTATTTAGAGTGCTCAGTCTTGCAGCTGTGAGGGCCGAGTGTGTAATTATTTAGTGTCATTGAAACAGAGCCCGGGCTTGAAGACAGATGAAGGTAACATGACAGCTTGCAGACACCAACTGGGAGATGTTCTCCATCTCTCTGATGTTCTTAAGCATGTTTTCTCTTGTAATGGTCACTGCTGTTCACCGGGAATGCAAAGCACATTGTGTCAATTACACCACAAACACCACACACACACACACACACACACACACACACACACACACACACACACACACACACACACACACACACACACACACACACACACAGTGTATTAAGTGTATTAATGAACAGTTTTGTTGGCCGAGGATTATACAGTATGTCGTGTTTAAGGAAAGAGAATCAGAGAAGTAATGTAACCTAATGCAAAAATATTCACCAGCTCAGATATGACTAATTCAGAGATCAAAGTCAACAGGATGTCAGGCCTGTCGAGTCTTGGTAGATTCCCAACCACAAACATGCACACACACGTAAACACACAATGAACGCCACAAATGTACACCTTAGTTACAGTTCCAGTATATTACACACTCAAGTAATGTCACAACAATGCACAGGCACGAATATGTGCATATCTATGAAGGTGTTTGTGTGGATGTTTATTTGTTTGTCGTTTATTCCACCCAAAGCCTGCAGATGAACCCCGACCAAAATGATGCAGACCCAAAAACTTAACTCTATTTTGAGGTGAAATCAAGTTTAAAAGTTTAAAAAGTCACTCAATCTCTATTTCTGCCAACAGCAGCAGTTTTCCTTCCCTCTTCTTGACACACTCGAGTGGTATTAATTAACTGGTGTGGCTCAGCAGCCACCAAGAGAGCACCTGCACCCACAGGCGAGTGCGGCAGGAATGGGTCACTTTATAGCTGTGCATCCTGTTTGGTAAGATTAACAGACCAATAAGATGTGTTTAATTTAGTAATATTGAATGTTTAGTAAAATAGAAAATTATGAATTTATAGATTCAGTCTCTCTGAAAATGCTAAAATAGTTGTATCATTCATGGAGCTTCTTCTATAGTTGACACATGGCACACTCACTGATTGAGTCTCCAGATGGGCCAGGCAGAACCAATCAATCACTCTGTAACTAAAATATTAAAGACTGGAGGAAGTGCTTGCTAAGCTGAGAACTTGCAGTGGGATGGTTTATAGGAAGAGAGCATACATACAGTAAGAGGAGAAACAAATAGACAGAAAGCGACAGATTACTGTAATAGACAGATACACATGGTTAGAGACAAACAGGCAAACTGAAAATAGAGGAGTCGGCAGCCACAGAACAAAACCACTGAAATGACAAACAGATGTAGAGATAGAAAAAAATGAAATGTCATCCCAAGAGAGACAGTGGCAAAGATAAGAAAGCAATTTAGCAGTAAGTACATAATCCACAGAGGAGATAGGAAACAGTTTCCACATGCAGTAGCTGTCCATACAGACAGCAAAGGAGCTACTTGTAAGTTTTGCTATTGCTACATAGCCAGAGTTAGCATTAACAGTTGTTGACTCTCGAGTCTTGCCAATTCATCGTTGCGTTTACAAGAGAAGAAGTTAAAACATGTCCTCCGAGCAGCGTACTTCTTCAAAGCAGATTGGACGCTACAGTGACTCGGTATCGGAAAGGGTCGAGACGGGCCAACTGGGCTGGGGCTAGCTAATTAGCATGCAACCTTCTGTAGAGAAAAAGAAGTGAGAGAAATAAAGTCAAAACAAAAGTGTTGCTTTCCACAGCTGGAGACAGCACTTGGCGAGTAAAGGAATGAAGTTTGATGCTGAAGTTACATCGTTTCCACTAGACTGGCAAGTAAACAGCTGTTAATGCTAATGTTGGCTACGTTTCAATAGCAAAGAAGAAATAGCTCCTTTAAGGGATGATTTTGTTTATTACAAGAATTTTGCCTTTAATAGTTTTGGCCATCATCTCACGAGGTACAACCTAAAGTTTTTTTTTGGATTGAAGATGGAAAGCATTTTCATAAAAGTGTTGTATGAAAACTAAAGGTCGTCATGCTCAAACACATGCTAGTTGTCAAACCTATGACGACATGCTACTACGCTACTACAGGCATTGTGAAATCAGTTGTACATGAGTTTGCTCAGACAGGGGAGTTTAATGCTCTGCAGCAATATGAATTCTGAACTATGCTCTCTGTCAAACACTCTCCCACTGTCTTTGTGCTGTTGGCTAACCCCATGCAGACACTTGCATTTGTGTATGTGTCTGTGTGCGTAGGTTTTTGGGCTTTCAGGATAGCCCTCCGTAGTCCGGGAAGTGGTGGTCATGGGGGAGAGGAGCAGCTGTTGTGGCTGTCTGTTTTGCATTTCGCCTGTCCTCACATACACATCAAAGCGCCTGAAGCAGGACCCCTGAAGCTGGCACAGGTGCAGAATACTCAACGCAGACCTCTAAATACCCGACAGGGTAAAGCATTTGAGCCATGGGAGATCCTGCGAGGAAACAAGATGCTGAGGTAGCTGTTTTTGGACCACGATAAAAATCCAAAACAAAATTTCTCATCATTTGTACCGGCAACAGCCCAACTGTTGGAAACACAGCAAGTTGCAAAGGATGGAAATCCTATATGGATTTCACATGGATTCAGCACATATAATCCAGATATAAACACACATTGAAGATTCATGAGTTATGAATCTTGCTATCTAACTCTCACCATAGCCTCTGCAAGCACGAGTGAACCCAGTCAGACATGAGTGGTTTCAGTCATGTTATCTACATGTGCATTACAAATATGTAAATTTATTTGAATATATGAGATGCTGCTGGTCAGCTGTAGAGCCTTTTAACCGGAAATGGCACCTGAAGGCCTGTGCAGTTATGACCAATGGCAGAGTCCCTGTAGGCTGGGCAGAGCCAATCAATCAGAATGAAGTGAACCAAACTGAGGCTGAAATATTCACTGCTGGAGCACTTTACTGCAACATTCAGAAAGTGTCATGGGATGGATTTGAGAGGTTAACTGTGTGTGATACACCACCTGTTGTGACTTATTTAGATAATGTAAATGAAGAATGACATTTTAATTGCTATCAACACTAGGGTCCAGGGTTTGGTCTTTGCTCTCTGGGTGTTTGCGTGGGTTTCCCTCAGTTTCTGCAGGTGCTGCACTGTCCTCCTCCTCCTCCACTTTCATACTGGTGTTTGTTATCAGCTGCCATATCATGAGCACAAATGAAACTCATAATGAAAAAAAATGCATGTTAATGCAATTTTTAAAATTATGAGGTTGTGACATAATGTCACGTGTCCAATGTGACTTGACATATCTGGATTTTTCTAAATCAAATCAGAAACTCATTTCATTTTAATCTCCTCAGTTTTTTGTAATCTCCTCAGTTTTGAGAAACTCTAATTTCTAGATGTGCTGAAGCTAAATATTTGTTTTTTAACCTGTGTTCACCTGCCTCATTGGTGCACATATAAATATTCAGAGCAGTAAAACCTACTGTACTATGTGCAGCTTCACACTTACTTTTCATTGATCCTATGCTGTCCTCTGCTGGTGATAAAATATAAGATTTTGATAGGAGTTCTCAAACCACTAATCTTTGTAAAAAGTCTTAAATCTTATTATGCAATTCTAAAAACAGTAACATTTTGACATTGTTAGAATTATCTTAACTTAGCCCTCTCCAATGATTGGTAATAGACTAATCTGCTTCTGTTGTTGACCACAAGATTTTCCAAGTAAATTTCAGAGTCATATTGCACACGTAATTATTTTTTGTCATAGACCCAGATAAAAGGAAAAACAATGACTTTGGGTTCCAGAAGGTTCAAGCCCTTTCAGTGGTTCCCTTATAGCTTTCAGAGTCCCCCTGAGCCAGCTGAAAGCAGC